CAGTTGAGCACAACAAGAGGTAACTGCCACATATTCAGCTTCTGCACTTGAAAGAGCCACAGAGTTTTGTTTCTTTGTACCCCATGAGATTAAGCATGACCCTAGAAAGTGTGCCATGCCAGATGTGCTCTTTCTATATCCACCAGATAACCAGCATAATCAGCATCATCATACCCAATTAAGTCAAAACTGTCTCCTGAAGGATAGTAGAGAACCAGGTCTTGCGTTCCTTTGAGATACCTTAGAATCCTCTTGGCAGCTTTCAGATGAGATTCCTTTAGAGTGGATTGAAATCTAGCAGATAATCCCACAATGAATACAATATCAGGTCTCCTAGCTGTGAGATACAAGAGTGAACCAATGATGCCTCTGTACATGGTTTCGTTCACAGGAGAACCAGGTTCATCCATGTCCAGACGAGTGGCAGTGGAAATAGGAGTATCAATGGTCTTTTAACTTTCCATCTCAAATCTCTTCAGGAGCTCTTTAATGTACTTCTGCTAACTTATCATCGTTCCCTTAGAGGTTTGCTTAACTTGCAACCCTAAGAAAAAAAATTCAATTCCCACATCATGCTCATTTCAAACTCGCTTCCCATAAGCTTTGCAAACTCCTCACACAAGGAATCGTTTTTTGCACCACGTCAACATAAAGTTTCACAATGAGCAGGTTCCTCTCACGTTTCTTCAAAAATAGGATGTCGCCGATTTTTCCTCTTGTAAAGCCATTTTCAAGAAAGAACTTGGACAACCTTTCATACCATGCACGAGGGGCATGTTTCAGCCCATATAATGCCTTGTCAAGTTTGAATACATGTTCAGGATGCTCATGACACTCAAAACCAGGTGGTTGTTTGATGAAGACTTCTTCCTTTAATTATCCATTCAGAAATGCACTTTTGACATCCATTTGGAACAATTTGAATTCAATATGCGATGCAAAGGCAATGAAGATTCTGATGGCTTCCATTCAAGCAACTGGGGTAAAGGTCTCATCATAGTCGATCCCTTCTTCTTGATTGTAGCCTTGAACTACTAACCTGGCCTTGTTCCTTGTAGTATTCCCAAACTCATCAAGCTTGTTTCTGAACACCCACTTGGTTCCTATAATAGTTCTGTCTGAGGGTCGAGAAACCAGGTGCCATACATAGTTTCTCTCAAATTGATGGAGTTCGTCTTGCATAAAAGTAATCCAGTCAGCATCTTTCAATGACTCCTTGATATTTTTGGGCTCAATTTGAGAAAGGAAATATAAGAAGGCAAGCGAGCTTCTTGTCTTTGACCTGATTTGAATTCCTGAATCAAGAAGAGTGATATGTGAACTTTTGTGCTTCCAAAAGATAGAGTTTCCATCTTTTGATATTTTTGGGCTCAATTGAACTTTTGGGCTCAATTGAACTCCTTGATATTTTTGGGCTCAATTGAACTTTTGGGCTCAATTGAACTCCTTGATATTTTTGGGCTCAATTGAACTCCTTGATATTTTTGGGCTCAATTGAACTTTTGGGCTCAATTGAACTCCTTGATATTTTTGGGCTCAATTGAACTTTTGATACCATCTTTGGATGTTTTCTTTCACTGCTCCATGCACAAGAAGATTAAGGATTAGACTTAGGAACCCAAACAAGTTTGGGTCCCTTGTAGTAAGAAAAAGGGCGAATTAAACTTCTTTTTGTCTAAGCAGGCATTACACGTTTTTTATTAGAGGGACCAAGTTCATTAGCAGTAGTTACCTTTTCAACAAAAACTTTATTTTTCTATTGGGACTGAATTCTAGCCTTACAGGTTTCTTTAAAGTGCCTAGTGTTATCACAGTGAGTGTAAATCCAGTTATCAGGGACAATAACATTCTTGCTATGTGGATTGTAGGAAGTCCTTTCCTTTTGGAACCCGACTCCCAGCCTGTTTCCCCGTTGCTTTTATACATGGCAGTGATTGTATCAGAGGGCCAAGTCCACTTTAGAAATTTTTCTAGGTCATTTTTAACTCTGCCTAGATCTTTCTGAAGTTGTCTGTTTTTTTCAAGTTCAGCACACATACTAGATTTCACCAATTTGAGCTAATTTTCAAGCTTAAGGTGTGCCTCACTTGCAACTTCCTTTCCCTTTTGGATGTTCCTAGAACTGTTTCCCCTTTTTAATTATTCAATTATTTCGTTTAGACACCAATATGTCATCTCTCTCATGCTCTGCGTTTTCAATTCTTTCAGTTAAAACATCTTTTTCTTTCTTTAGAACCTCAATGGTCTATTTTAGGTCAACCACTACGACTACCAGATCATCTCTCTCATGTTCTACCTCTCCTAGTTCCACAGTTAACATATTTTTATTATTTATAAGATTATGATAAGCATCAATTAAAACATTGACCAAAGATATAAGCTTCTTTTGAGAGTAAGACTTCAAATTTCTTTGAACGTCTAGAAAGTTTACTCATCATCATCATCATTAGATTTTTTCATCAGGGCAAAGATAGAGTCATATTCAGCTGCTTCGCTTTCAACTGCCATCATGGATGTGTCACCTTGTTCATCATCTTTCCCAGATTCACTAGAGGAATCTCCCCATGCACCAAGAACTTGTTTCACAACATTGTCAGCGACATCTTTTCTCTTGAATCTCCTATCAGGAACCGGGTTCCTCTTGGTTATTTTGTATGTGTTGTGCTTGTACTGATCTTTCTTGAGGAGAGGACAATCTTTGATGAAATGTCCTAGCTTCCCACATTTATGACACAAGTCATAACCTTTTGATTTGCTGGAGCTTCCCCTTTTTGGAATGCCTCCATTCATGAGAACCATTTTCTGAAATCGCTTTGTCAGGTAGGCCATGTCAACATCCTCACCACTTGAGTCATTGTTTTCTGCCTTGAGGACCAGGTTCTTCTCCTTTTTGAGTTATCTTCTTTCATGGTCCTTCTTATTCTTCATTTCGTAAGTCTTCATATTTCCAATGAGTTCATCAATGGTCAGCTTTTGTAGATCTTTTGCCTCTGTGATGGCATTAACTTTTCTTTCCCAAGAGCCATGTAATATGCTAAGTATTTTCCTGACAAGTTTGTTTCTTGGAATGATTTCTCCTAGAGAGTGGAGCTCATTGATGATGGAGGTGAATCGAGTATGCATGTCCTGAATGGACTCATCATCCTTCATCCTGAATAGTTTATACTCAGTAGTGAGCATGTCGATCTTTGACTGCCTAAATTGAGTTGTTCCTTCATGTGCTGTTTGGAGAGCCTCCCAGATCTCCTTAGCGGATTGACATGCAGAGATTTTGCAATACTCGTCTGGACCAATACCACAGACGAGGATTTTTTTTGTTCGGAAGTTTTTCTCTATAGCTTTGCGGTCAGCATCGTTGTACTCCTTCCTTGTTTTTAGAACTGTCACTGCTGGCTCACCAATGGTCTTCATGGGAACGAAGGGGCCATCGCAGATGACATCCTAGAGCTCAGAATCCTCAGCCATGGTAAAATCATGCATACTTGTCTTCCACCATCTGTAATACTGTTCATTGAATCTTCCTGGTCTATAGGTTGACTGACCTTCTTCAAAGTTTGGTGGAGCATCCATGTGGATCCTTTCTAGGTGTTAGCCTTGTAGAAAGAACCTGCTCTGATACCAATTGATATAAACTAAGGGTCCACCAAACTGTATAGAGAACCTGGTTCTCTATCAGTTTTCATAGAACACACACACATCAGTAAGTAAAAGACATATCAAAGTTTTATGTGAAAAACTCCCAGCTCGCGGGATTAAAAATCACGACCTACCCTCGTAGGATTTCAACTTCACTAACTGAGCAAACTTTAGATTACAATCTATTGTAATCTAGGAATTAACCTCTTAATCCCTCACCTACATGTAATAACTCTATTACAAGCCTCTTTGTAATAACCCTATTACAAAGCACACACTTTGACTAACTCTAGCCAAAACACAAACACATGGTTTATGGTTTTACAAAAGATCTCATACAGAAATGCTTCTAAGTAAGTTGGGTAGGAGTTACAAATAGATAACACTAATAAAGATACAACAATACTAAGGACGTATGATAGACTCGCTGGGATCTGGTCCTTGGTTATGTTGTTGCTTTGTTCTTCACTGACTTGAAAGTCGGCAACACACTTGAGAGAGAATTGATGATTTAGGGTTTTGCAAGTGTGTGTATTTCTCTTGCCTCATGTTGGTAATATACAAGTGAGGACATTGGGATGATGTATGCAATTATCCGGTACAAGGCATGCTCCATGAAGTGACTGTTGCACTATGCGTGTGTAGAAAACAGTGCAACGACTTTACAGCTGTGGAGAGTTGACTTGTAGTGTCATCAGAGGAACTGATGGACATATATTCCCTCTCCCGTTTCTTTGACTCAAGTTATTGGGACTTGTGCCAGACATGAGACTTGTTGCTCTTGAGCACTTTGAGGATGTGTAACAGGTTCCCGATCTGGTTCTTATTATGAAGTTTGTTAGATCATCAAAATACACAAAGGCACGTAACTTAACAGTTTCAAAACATTTGATATAATTTCATTAATTTGTCATAGTTAATCATTCTCCCCTCCTTTTCTCTAATTTGGAGAACAAGAGGGTTGATGTCATAGTCTATCCAAATTGTACGACTTCTTTTTGTTTACTCTAGGATGATCTAAATGGTCGATACTATCTTTTTACTAAAATAATATTTTGTTTAACTTTTAAGAAATTTAAATTTATTTATATGTTCAGGTTTAAATTTCAATGTGATGCTTTTTATTATTATAATTTTTAACTAATATTGTTTTATGCTATTAATATAATACATAAATTAAGTAACATCTTAAACTTCATATTTTTTTTTATCAATAGGAGGATGTTACGTTTTTCTTCTCTTTCTTTTTGTTTTGTTTTCTGGGAAGGAGGATCAGATCAATGAGAAAAAGACAGCAGACATCTTATCCTCGGAAAGAGCTAGGGGCACGAAAGTAAATTTAAAGAGTTCAACATCGTCCAGTGTCCTAATATAATAAGCTGAAATCCGACATTGATATGAAGCTTCACTAACGGCCACACATGGCCTCCACCTCCTACATCACCTTCAAACCCCTTCAACAAACTCAACTCAAACTCTATTACTTCACTCACTGCAGTAAGCATTCTTCAACTCTGTTTCACTCTTCTTTTCATACTCTCCTTTCTGCACCAACAAAATACACACTGGAACCACCAAGAATTTTGCCCTCCATTCAAGTTAAAGCACATGTCACTCACTTGGAAACAAGATTGTCCTTTGAACCAGAGCAAGAAATATCAGGCAGTAGAACTAATAATGAAAATAGTTCTGGGTTTTCTTCCTTTAGTCCCAAAGATAAGATGGTTGGCATGAAATCTTCAAGAGAAAATTTAGGTGGGAAAACAGTCATTCTAAAAGACAGAAATGCAAAGAGTGGATTAAAACCTAAAAGAAGTAGAGAATTGGGTTCTAATAAGTCCAAGACTGAAACTTTTGAGAAAAGGACAGTGAAGAGTAAAGGTAAAAAAGTAGAGAAAGAAGTTAGAAAAGATGGTGGTAATAGGCCAAGAATGGAAAACATGGAAAAGGGGTCAAAGAAAAGTAAAATCGATTCAACATTTAAGATAGGGTTGGATATGTGCTCAAAGAGAGGGGATGTAGTTGGTGCAATTAGGCTGTATGAGTTGGCATTGCAAGAAGGAATAGCAATGGGACAGTATCACTATGCTGTTCTTCTCTATCTTTGTGCTTCTGCAGCTACTGGTGTTGTTCAGCCAGCAAAAAGTGGAAGTGGTAGTAATAGGACTTTGAATTCTGTTGACTTGCCCAAGGGAACATGCTCTAGCAGTTCTGTGAAAATCAAAGCTTCAAAGAATGGCAAAATAACAAACTTGACTAATATGTTGAGCTTCTCTTCAGATAGGCACTGTCAAACTTTAGATGAATTGGTGCAATTGTTCAAGAGCAGTGCAGAAGCTTCTAATACAAAAAGTGTGAGAGGCGAACAGGAAGATCATGGAATTAAAGTGAGTGAAGAAGTGAAACACTATGCACTTAAATATGGTTTTAAGATATATGAGAAGATGCGGTCAGAGAAGGTACAAATGAATGAAGCAACCCTTACATCTGTTGCAAGAATGGCAATGGCATTGGGAAATGGTGACATGGCATTTGATGTGGTAAGGCTAATTAAAGAATATGGAATAAACCCGAGGCTGCGATCTTATGGTCCTGCCTTATCTGTTTTCTGCAATAATGGGGATGTTGACAAGGCATTTATGGTTGAAGAACACATGTTGGAGCATGGTGTCTATCCAGAGGAACCCGAACTGGAGGCACTTTTAAAAGTAAGTGTAGAAGCTGGTAGGAGTGAGAAGGTGTACTATTTGTTGCATAAGCTTCGAGAAGGAGTTCGACAAGTCTCACCTTCTACTGCAGATTTGATTGAGAAGTGGTTCAACAGCAAGATAGCTTCAAGGGTTGGGAAAAGAAAATGGGATGAAAGAACCATACGCGAAGCTATTAAAAATGGAGGTGGTGGGTGGCATGGACAAGGCTGGTTGGGTAATGGTAAATGGACTGTATCACACGCATATGTTGACTCTGACGGCTGCTGCAAATGCTGTGGTGAGAAGCTGGTGACTATTGATCTTGATCCTGTTGAAACTGAAAATTTTGCCAAGTCAGTTGCTTCTATAGCTGCGCAGAGAGAGAGAAATTCAAGCTTCCAGAAATTTCAAGTACGTTTTACTAACTGCTCTAATGATTAGGTTATTCTTGGATCATTTGTGTCTCTAGTGAGGGTGAAACAACTGCAGAGATGGCTTGACTATTATGGACCCTTTGAAGCTATTGTTGATGGAGCAAATGTTGGCCTTTATAGCCAAAGAAAATTTAGGCCATCTAGGGTAAGTGTTGGATGCCTTGTTAATGAAACGTGATATCTTCATGACACCCCTGTATTTTCAAAAATTCAGGTCTTCTGTTTTCTCTATTGAATGTTGGCATTTGCATTCAGGTCAATGCTATTGTCAACGGAATTCGCCAGATGCTTCCTTCGAAAAAGTGGCCGCTGATAGTTTTGCATAATAGACGTATTACTGGAGATAAGATGGATGAACCATTCAATAGAGCGTTAATTGACAAGTGGAAAAATGCTGACGCAATCTATGCAACACCTACAGGCTCCAATGATGATTGGTGAGAGCTGTAATCTTTTATTTCTAGGACGCTTTGTGCTTAGTCTGAGTGCCTTGTATTCTAATTCGTTTTCATTTATATTCTGATGGCGAATTAACTTGTTTCTTCAGGTACTGGCTGTATGCAGCTATAAAATTTAAGTGCTTAATTGTGACGAATGATGAAATGAGGGACCATTTGTTTCAACTTCTGGGAAATGACTTTTTCCCAAAGTGGAAAGAACGGCATCAGGTGAGTTTCATTCTAATATGCATGTTGGAGGTTCAAGAAAGTAACAAGACAGTCATGGCATATTAACTATCTAGCAATATATTCGTTTCTCTTGACTGATGTTTTATTGCATCGATAAAAGGTAAGGCCCTGAGGTAGAGATTTAGAGGAATTATTTTAAGAGGGAAAGGGCACCCAGGGATGTGAGGGGTGAGGGGGTGGAGAAAATTGGTTGTGGGCATCGAATTATGTCTAGGCAGCACAATGGTGACAATGACCTATTATTGACCATTGGAAAACAACCTTCTCTAGCCGTCGTTGCTTTTTGTTATAAAATTGTCCCTCATATCACTTCTTATTCTATCCATGAAGCAACATGAGCCATCTTTCTTTAATTAGCTTACTTGAGAAGGGATACCTCCATTTCATGATCTATATGCTATAAATTCAAATATACTTGTACGTTTCACAGTTTTCTGATGAAGGAATTTTCTTTTCTTAATTGAAGGTGCATTTCAGTTTCTCTGAAACAGGTCCAGTACTTCACATGCCGCCTCCCTGTTCTGTTGTAATTCAGGTCATTATTGCCTTTTACTTGATCTGCTTCAGAATATACATAGCAAATAAATTGCTCATGATCAATTTTATAAACCAAAATACAAATATAGGTGGGGCATTCTTCTCGATTTGCACTAATAAAATCAATAGCAGAGATTGAGCACATGTAGGAGAAGAACATTATTATGTTGTACTTGCATGTCATTTAACACAACTATCAGATGTAATCTTGTTCCTTATGTCTCCAGGAGTCAGAAAAAGGCTATTGGCATGTACCAATTGTCTCACAACAAGAATCTGAAGAAGAAAGGACGTGGTTGTGCATTAGACGTGCTAATTCACCTTTGGCAAAGCAAGAGTCTTCCAGCGTAGACATATGTAAGTGCATGTTACAAGAAAGGTTAACCAGTATCATAAAATAAATGCCTTAGTGCAATCTGACAGAATCGCCTAGTGGTCTAAGGCATCATATTTAGGCTCTAAATACTTACTGGAAAACAATCCTCTGTACATCTTGAAAACATTTTCTCCAGTCTTACTAATCACCATTCCTTATTTTTGTTTTCTAGCTAGTAAAATTTCAAAAGAGTGACTCTGTATTTTGCTTAGGATTTGAATGATTGTGATTCTGAACTCAAAAACTTCAGACTCCCAGTTTATTTTTCCAACCTTTCCTTCTCCAAGTCCACAAAATCTCAATTACTTATAAACTGATAGCGGCATGCAAAAAAGAAGGATAGGCATGCGCACCTTCCACCAAGAAGATAGCCTTCCTGTACTGTATATTGCTTCTATCTGTTATTCTTTATGTCCAGCTGCATTAACTTTTGGTAGTGTCAAGTTGTCCAAAGTACATTGTGCTATTTCTTTCCTTGGAATTACAAGAAATGTGTAATATAGTAAACGAGCATGGCTAAACAAGTAAATGGACTGCATGGTATAGCATTTAGCATGTTCTTTTACATGTGCATCACAAACACAATGAAGTAAACTAGGCTTAGAGGATATATATGAATGTAAAATCAAACATCTTAATCACAGAGACCTAAACCGTTAAGATGTCAAAGCATTTGATTCTTGGATCAAATTCTACTTGTTTCGTGTTTATAGAGATACCTTATATGCCATTTCTTTCTTTCAATAGCAATCTTTACATTGCACACCTTTTCTCAAAGCACTTAGAATTATACAACATGTTTCCTGGAATGGTTGTATGCCATGCAGCCAAAAATGTTGGTGATTCCACTCACAAATGTACTTCTGAATTGCACTCACCTCACCACAAGGAAGATTCAACGGCCAGCACGAGAAGGAAAAATCAAGTTAAGGTGACAGGAAAAATGCATGGCAGCCACGATCGAAATAAGGAGGCACCTGAAGAGATATATAGAAGTCTTAAAAATATTTTACAACCGTCAATATCTGCAGATCATCATTCAATTCTTCCAGAACTGGAGGCTGCAGAGGAGCAAGGAGATGGCATGATTGATTTCCAAATATAATCTTTTACTTTGGAATTTGGACCTTTTTGACACAAGATAGTGCAAGGCAACCTAGCAAGATTTGCTTTTGTCGCTTTTGGGCTACTGCAGCCTCCAATCTATGGAAGAGTTTCTAGTTGTTAGGTATACCACATACTTGAACAGATCTTCCATCTAGATTAATTAGATAGGAATTCCTGCATTGCTGGGGAATTGGCAGGAAAAGAAATGGGAAGGAAAGGCTCGTCTTGGTTCTTTTTGGCTACATTAATAATAGTAGTTAACATATTCTTTATGGTGAATAATTTTCTTCAGTGTGAGTTGGTGTATTTTTCGTTTCTTTTGCTTCAATCTTTCCGTCATGTGCAACAAGTAATTCGGAATGAGCACAAAATACTCGAGGCAGTTCTCTGAACAGCTTACATATGCTCAGCATTCTAAGAGAGTGAGATAAACGTCAGGAGAATTATATCCATTGAAAATGCAATCGCAAGAAGATTAAGTAGAACCTCCAACAAACCTGATATCCAGAAAAAAAGGAGAATAGCTTACTAGGTTTGTACAAATGAAAGAAGTGAAGTAGTCCAATTGCTGCTTAGGTTGTAAACAACTAGTATGATTTGAAGCAGAGAGGGTATTTTCTTCTGCACAAATACAAGCACAAGCCTTATCTAGTTGAAGATGCAGTGGGGAGGAGTGGATTTTCACCGCCAGCATTAAGAAGATATGCACACAACTTGGGCAACATTAAAATCCTAAATAGAAATGATTGAAATCTCAGCTCTTATATTGTTTCGACATGTCAATTTTGATTTGCAGGGCTCGCAATTCAAGATTTGTTGTTTGACCACAATCACAAAATTCATACTATTCCTTAAAAATCGAGAAACAGATAGTGAACTGCATATTGATTTTACTGTTTCAATCGAGTGGCACTGTAACCACAACTAGTGTTGGTTTTGTTAGACTTCACAACCTTGATACTGTATAGGGTAAAATTAACAGACGACTGGTGGATGTTCGTCGAATGGACACGGGGCAGTAAAGACATGTAGGAGATGAGTCATCAAATAGCTGACATCGGATACAAGCATGTGACAGGTGTTGTATAAGCTCCGAAGACATTAAAATCGTAGAAGAGAATTTGAAAGCAAGGTACTTGTTGAAGAAGACAACATTAAAGGAGCAACCATTATAGAGAATCATAGCATTTACACTCAACCGTTATGCACTATCAAGAAGGGTTTTTATTCACCTTAAAGAGGAGCTTGCTTTGAGGATCTTGTCTCCCCTAATTTAGCTATAAATAGAGAAATTTGTACTCATTGAGCGACACGAAAAAAGGCTAAGCTTACTCTCTTATTCTGTAAAATCTTATTTTGCTTATACTTAGTTTTCAGCATTGTTCTTGTTTCCATAGAAGTTCAATTCAAGGCCCATCCTTGTCTTTTCTTCAATTATTCTTATTTTATTCGTTTATGTTCTTCGTTATTTTATTTACTGAGATCAATTTAATCCACGTGTCTATAAACCACATTACAAATTCAATTATACCGTTTTACGGGTAAATAGTTTAGCGCCCACCGTGGGACATAGACAATTATGGTATTGCTTTGATCTATCCATCTTTTTATGACATACTTTGAAGTTTTTTCTGTAGTAAGCAAAAAAATAAAAATAAATATGGCACTCAATGATGTCAACAACTCGCTCAATGTTGGAACAAACAACATCAATGAGAATGAGGATAATTTCTATGATAGAGATCGGCAGGAGATTCAACCAGTGAAACTCGTATCGATGGGAATGAGTCAACTCCGGTCTAGAAGGAACTAAATACTCGGGGTGCACTCCTACCCCTGATGATATGGATGATAAACCCGTTGTCGAGACGGTAAAAGTTTTGAGAGCACAATAGGGGAAATCACGAATCATCTCTCAAGACAGGACCGAATAATGACTGAGCTCCAGAAAGCGCTATTAGTTGCTTCAAATAACTCCAATAGAGGAATTCGAGCCACTCCCAGCGTGCCTGCAAATCAAACAACATAAAGAACCAGTAACATCGCTTCGAGGGAGGAGTTTAGATCTAATGATAATCAAGTAGGTGGTACAGAACAACAGATCCGGAAATGAAAATAACACAGATGATCCTTTTAAAACCGAGCTCATGAGGTTCATGAGGGAAATGAATGATCAGATCGATCAAAACTCTAAGGAATTCCACGCTCGGATGGATCAGATCCGGGGGCACCTCCGGTATTAAAGGGCCTGGACTCAAAGAAGTATACTCAATTGTCATTCAACCCAAGTGCGGCCCCGTAGTTGATTCCAAAGAAATTCAAAATACCGGATATTTCAAAATACGATGGAACTTCGGATCCACAAGAATACATCACAAACTTACACTACGGTTTTGAAGTGAAATGATTTGGCTCCGCATGAGATCGAATCAGCTTTGCTAAAGAAATTCGGCGTAACCCTAACAAAGGGAGCATTAACTTGGTATTCACTCTTACCTGAATTGCTTCTTTTGAAATGTTTGCCGATTTATTCATCAAAGCTCATGCTTGGGAAAGGAAAGTCCAAGCTACGAAGAAGGATATATGTAGAATTGCTCAAGGAGATTTTGAGTTGCTACGAGAATTCTTGATCCGGTTCCAAAAGGAGAGAATGTTATTGCCGGCAGTTTCGGATGAATGGGCAGTAGAAGCATTACCCGATGTCTCGATCCTTAAGCTCTAATGCCTCGAGGAAGCTAAAAGAAAATTTATTGGAATTTCAAGCAACCACATGGGCTGATGTTCATAATTTCTATGAATGAAAATTAGAATTGAGGAGATTAGTTAGGTTCTTCGTTGTCATCCAAGGGTCGTAATCACGATCGGAATCAAGAAAAGTTCAAAATGATCCTGATGCGGATCGGAGATCATCCAGGAATCATTTTCAACCTTATTTTATCAAACAAAAGATCTTATGGGCGTGGAGCTAAATGTTTTCAGTCATCGGAAAGATTTGGACCAGACAGAAGGATATATCATGGACGGAGTAGCAGAACTTTGAAAGATAAAGAACTATCAGGGTCTCGGGATTCAGGATATCCCAGGTTATCGGATTACAATTTCAATATCAATTTGATAGAGTTGGTTTCAGTTATGAGAAACATCAAGGAAGCAAGGTTCCCGAAACCAATTCGATCATACTCCAGTCAAAAGGATCGTAATTTATGGTGCGAGTTCCACGGTACACATGGCCATAGGACTGGCGACTGCCGGCACCTCCGTGAAGAGATAGTGATGCTGTTGAAAAATGGTCATCTTAGTGAATTTTTAAGTGAACGTGGGCCAAGAACAACTACGGTAGGAGTCGGGATGCAACAGAACCGGAAAAACCAACAACAGGGTCTCCCCGCCTAATAATAAACATGATTTTTGGTGCGGTTGAAGTAAACGGGGTGTCATTTTCGGCAGCAAAAAAGATAAAAATATCAGTCACTCATGGCAAGAGAATCTTAGAAACATCATAGGATGATGAAATCACCTTCACGGGGGAAGAAGCTGATAGACTTATTTTACCGTACAATGATGCTTTGTTAATATCTTTAAATATTTTAGATTTTAAAATTAAGCGTGTGTTGGTTGATCCAGGTAGTTCTGCCAATATTATCCAACTAAGGGTCTTAGAACAAGCAAAGCTAATCGAAGTTCCGACAATGAAGCTTCTGGCCGGGTTCAACCTAACAAGCGTAACGACCCAAGGAGAGATCGTGTTGCCTACATATGCTGAAGGGGTGACGAAATCCACCTTGTTCAAAGTTGTGGATGGCGATATGGGCTACAATGTAATTATCGGTAGGCCATGGATCCACAAAATAAAAGTTGTGCCATCAACTTATGATCAATTTCTAAATTTTCCTACATCAGACGGGATTAAGCAGATTAGAGGTGATCAACCTGCTGCAAGGGAAATGAATGTTGTCACCTTATCTAGCAGTAATGCGGAGGAAATCAACAAATAGTAGCTTCAAGAACTGGTGTCAACTTCTGTTCCTTTCCTGGTTAAAAACGATGGAGAGGAAGAGACATCGAATATTGACCAGGTGCCTAGATCATTCTAGGTAACAGAAGAAATGGATGTAACAAAATAAAAGAGGACTTTCAAGAGTCACTTAGCCCCTTGACCTCTTCTCTCAAAAAAGACGTTGTGCGGGCAAGTCGATCAAAGTCAGAGGGCCATATACTACCAATATAAGAAAATGACTACCACAAGACCAGGTATACCAATTTGGAGAAAACCTACTTGGCTTTGGTTTGGGTAAGGCAGAAATGTAGATCTTTGGCAAATCAATATGGGTTCTTTCGTAATTAGGTTGTTCTCCGAACCTTGTTTGTTACTGAGCTGGGTAACTCAAACCCTATCCCTTCCTTTCTTAATAGTAGATAGATGTAGAGCTGGAGACTCCCTGGTCTTGACCGTATCTTCCCCTGGAGGAGTAGTAACATTGTTTTCTCTATGGGCAGATGACATAGGGACTATAAAACATGACTGATCACATGACTCAGGTTCTTCTTGTTGATGACTCAAGGTTTTCTTGGTTGGGTCATGAGAATCTAGTCGAGATCGAGATATTTCTTATCATGCAGCTCCTAGATTGAAAAGAAGCTGGTGGGCCAAGGCTTAAACTGCCAGACAAAGACGAGCTAGCTCCTTCTACTGTTGTGACTACCTCTCTTATCTTTTCTTTTAGAAAAGTAAAGGACCACCAGAGAGGTAAGTGCTTTCATGAATGCGGTAAACCGATCGATCTTTTCGTTACATATCGTGGACAGAAGCACTGCAAAAATCCAACCTGATTTTTTATTCGTTTGACGAGGAAAGACAATCGTGCTTCTAGTTTCCATTCCAATCATCATATTGAGTCAACCATAGAAGAGCTTGAACAAGTTTCTATGTTCACAAAATTCCCAGGGAGGAAGGTTTACTTGTGAATGAGGTTGAGCCCCGAATCAGGTTTAAAGTTGTTGAATTTCTTAAAACTAACACTGGTTGTTTTGCGTGGTCTCATTCAGATATGACAGGTATTCACTAGAAGTGGCTATCCACAAGCTAAGTATAAACCCTAATTTCCCTCCGATAAAGCAGAAGAAGCTGAAGATAGCTGAGGTCTAAGAAATAGAGTTGGAAAAGAAAAGGTAACTAGGTTGATAAATATAGTTTCAAAATGTGAAGTAAGTTATCCAAATTGGTTAGCTAACGTAGTAGTCGTACCAATTTTTTTTTATAATGTGCATAAACTATAAGGATTTAAATAAGGTTTTAC